CTCGGACGGGGAGATACAAAAAGGTCGAGATACAATGCCTGCGAAAGAAGATAGCAAATCAGGACAAGAAAAAAAAATAATAGCAACGGTATTTATATATACAGCAAATTACTGATCTTCAAAACAAACATCCATTATATTATTGGCTAATTTGGTGAACTAACAAATCACATGATTTCTGAAATTCGTGTATGCGAAAAATAACCAGTGGCGATTATCACCACCCTTTTTAGAATTAGAGTGCAGTTTTAGACAAATATTAGGGTTAGATGTAAAGGTTCAAATTTTAGTTAGGGTTAGGTTTCACCACTGGTTATAATTAGTGATGGACCTCTATTTGGTCGAAAAACTATATACTTAATAATGTGAGCGCAGTTAATCAATCAAAAACTATCTTGATGAATATAAAAAATATATTTAAAAATAAATTATCTGCGTATTGGAATAGTTTCTTCGTCTTTAGAATCAAAAATATCTACATTTTGGAATAGTTCTTCGTTATTTATGAATATACGTATTTGCCATTATCCTATATTTTAATTTTTCAGAAATTCAGACTTTTAAAGTCATTACGATTTTTTGTGATCTTTAGCATAGATGGGCATATATAATTAATATAAAATTATAATATATAGCTATTTTGAACAATTTAAGCAAATTTATAAATAGTTAGGCTAGGGTAAGAATTAGAGTTTAAATAGTTTAAATTAGCTCAAAATAATTTTATATACCCATTTATACTAATAATATTGCAAACCTTATTAACTATTAATGTTAGTTTAAGTCCAAATCCGTAATTTTATATATTCAAACAACACTATTAAATTCTCTTCTACAGATTATTATATACTGTTGTATACCTTATTTCTAATTTTATATAGGTAATTTATAATTATAGAATTGTAATATTATAATGACCAGAACAATGATAACAACAAATAAAAATACACACATTAAAACTACAGTACATTCTCTGTAACAAATTTTACGTTCCACATAAAAATTATATCACGAATATCAATTGCTTATTCATAATGAATCTATAAAATCCACTAATTTGAAATTCATTAAGGAGAAAATGTGAATTGTAATGTTAACACCATCTTTCTCACAAATACACCATCGTTGTAATAAGTTTAAATTATTATAAATAACCATATTATATATAAATGCAATAACAATTATACACCCACATTTCTATCCATAACATAATAAATATAAAATAAATAAATTAAGTTAAAATTAAGACCCCTGCGATTCTTGAGCTTGTGCTAATCGCGCCTCCAAGTTTCTCAAAGCTTCTTCTTTTGCCAAGAGTTCTTGTCTCTTTTCTGATATCTCACGTTGAACCTTTAATTCAATTTCTCTCAACTAAAAATTTATAATTGGTGTTTAATATATGTTTAAAGCATTAAAAGAAAAGAAAACAAAATTAAATATGTATTCATTACCTTCTCTTCTTCACGTTTCAATTGTTCTTCCTTCAAACGAACACTCTGAGTAGCAATACCTTCCGAGGTATTAATGTCACTATAGAAACAAACAAAAATATTGTAATTTTTGATATGAGTAACAGAAACGTTTTATAAAATTAAATAGAATAAACATACTCTTCATTATCGTCTGCACTTCGGCTAAGCTTCTCAGTACGATAATTCTCGTATAGGAAGTCGTGTGTGATTTCTTTCAAGTCTTGTAAATGAGAACTATAAATGGATACAACAATGAAGACTCATTACTAAAAAGTTTAAACTTTATAAAAATATATAAAATATTTAAATATAGCAACCTCAAGAGAGCCGATCTTAATCTGGCAAAATCAGAGTGCTGTGGGTTATCAACTATAAAAATCAAATTGAGTAAATAACCAATTTTATAGATATTAATATTATATATAATAGTAGTTAAATTATGAACCTTCAACGACACCCCACGGATATTGACGTCCACGAACAGTTCTTCCGTTTACAACAATTTCTTCTTCACTTCCAACAATAGCGAAAGGTAAAAGAGCCTATGTAAATCAAATAAACTATTAAATGAAATTCTTAATACAAAAATGGATCAATAAGTAAAATCATACCCGTAATTCACTATTCTCTTCAACAGTTTCCTCATCATCTTCTTCAACATCAAATGGGAAATTGTAGATTGGAATATTGTAATAATCAATATCCTCCATAATCTAAATAAATTTCGATAAGTTTATACTGAATAATAATAATAATAATAATAATAATAATAATAAAACATGTGCATACTCTTTTTTTGAATTCTGCTAGCTCAGCGGGTGTGAATGTGTCAGCTTTACCAATGACTGGAATGACATTAACGCGTGGGCTGAGGCGCTTCATTAGTTCAATATCAATCTCGCGAAGCCTAAGTTAAAATAATAATTAAAATTTCCTCTCTAGAAAAATGAATATAAAATAAATATCGATACATACGAATGACCGGTAGGAGTAATAAAATAAAGAAGCGCGTGGACACGATTATCTCGAAATCGTGGATTACGTTTAATCCTCGATTCTTCAGCTAAGATATCATCATATTGTCTTTCCAAATAACCCATAATTTCTTGGAAACTGTTTATTAAAATAAAGACTGTCAATCCTTATAGATGACATAAAATTTATCAAATTGAATAAGAATTATCATAAATCTTACCAAAATTCGTTGTCTATATTGTCTCCAAATCCAGGTGTGTCTACGATGGTTAAAGCAATTCTGGCCCCATCTTCTTCCAATTCTATGAAGTGAAATTAATTAATGCATGCATATATATTGAAATTAAATTCATGCAAATGCCAATGCTTACCAACTGTTACTGGTTTAATGCGAATGCCTTCTTCTATATGTGCAGATTCAGGATTGTCGCATAACTTTTTGGCTAAAACCTCACTACCACAAAGGGTATTGACAAAAGTGGAGCGACCAGTGCCTGAAACACCTGTAAATTTTATATTTACAAAATATTTAGTAACTTTTATTTTCGTTTTTAGTAAATTAACCTTATATCGTGAAAATAGACTTGCCTGCTACCATAAGAGTGAATTGAAATCCTTTTTTCACGTTTTTTCTACGGCCACCCAATCTCTATTTTGAAGTGGAGTAAAAAAACGGGTTAATAAGTAAAATTATTAACATTTTCAAGTAAATGACTTAAGTTCATAAAATCTAAGATGACACACATGAGCCATGTTTCGTAAGTTTTTTAATTAAAAAGAGTAACTATTAATTAGCGTATACTTTTATCGATATAATTTAACGTTAAACCATTGCGATTGAAAATCAATAAATAATCTATCTAGGGCAATGATATTCATTGTGTCCATGAATAGGCACAAACTTCTGACCGCACTGCACGTACGGTACATACGTACAGTACGTATGCACATACGTACGTACAGTACGTACGTATCATTTGATTCTCATATTCAATTAGTATAAGTAAAGATGCAAATATAGATGGAACAGCAGTGAAAACTTAGTACGTACGTAGTGAAATTCAAAATATACAGAATTGACAAAAAGAGTCTAATTGTTTTGAGTTAGAAAAACTAAAATATTAAATTTTCTTTTGATAAACTATACTTTATGCACATGTAGAAAATGGTTAAACCAAAATTATGCATGTAACGCAACTAAATAAAATTTGGACGCTCAAATTATATTACGTATCAAATCAAACTATGTGTTTACGTACCATATTGCTTTGATTTGTTAATTTTTTATGTAGTCAAAGAATTAATTCGGATAAATATAACGGGTTATTTATTAGTAGATATTGCAATTACATTAATAGAAATCAAGACATACATACAATACGTATAAAAAATACTTGTTAGCATTGCAACATTAAATTATTAATAAAAAAAGAACTCTAAATGCAAGCTGTTTCAAACAGGGGAAGACCGTATTGTGTTACACAAACGCCGAAGTAATGATATGAGTTATATTTTGTACCGGACATACTGTAATTTATTAATGAATATGTCAGGTACAAAAATATAATTGAAAGTCGATGACAGGTTTTCCCTTGACAGACTCATAATGTGTCAGGACGGAAATAAGAAATTCGAATGTGTATCTCGTAAATTTGATAGCATTATTTTTTATATCACGTGTTCGGACTTATGTTCTCCCTGGATTTCTTAAATATTTGAAAAGAACAACCCAAAATACAATTAACAGGTGGTCCGCAAATTATGATTCTGTTTAGAGAATATTAAATATTTACGAGAAATCAAAGAGAACTTGCCATGAAATATTGGGATGCGCTCACAATATAGTTCTTGACAACCAAGCGTGAGCCACAACATCAAGAGCTGAGGGATAACCGTAGTTCCTCTGAACGCTCAGTAATTATATTGTCTTCTGTGAGAGAGTCTGGGTCACAAACTGGCCTTCTGATGAAGAATAACCGCGGTTTTTGCCAATCTGAGCCAAACAACATCTCACAGGACCAAAGATGCTAGCTGAAACCCTTTAATAAGAATACTTGCAAAAACTTAGTAAACACTTAATAAAAGCTTGTCGAAACTTGGAGATTGCAGAAACCTAACTCGTCGAAACTTAACGTTAAGCAAAAAAACGCGTTATAAATGACGATTACTCTATTTATGTATCATGTGTATGCGGAGGTTAATTTTAAAAATAGGGTTTGTCGATTATTAGTTACGTGCCGATCCGGAATGCATACGTACGGATTTCCGGCTTTACAAAACTGAAAATTCTGTTCTCATAAATTTGATAAGTTTTTGAATTCGGCGTTATCAGCATTAGATTTCGGCATTACAGCAATGTCGATAACAGCGAATTCAAAAACTTATCGAATTCGGCCGAATGATCACTAATAAAATTCGGTAAAAAAAAGTTCATTGAATTAAGTTTAGCAGGTGTTGAGAAATTATTGCTAAAAGTTTTATATCGGAAAAACCAAAATCAGATAAAAGATTTCTCGACAACCAACTATTCGGCAAAATTACTATTCCTGATGGATCGTCGGTACCGATCCTGATAGGGCAAAAAAAAAAATCGATTTGCATACCGTTCTTGATGG